GGGAAAGAGGGAGGGAAAGGGGAGAAGGAGACAGAGAAGTAGCAGGAAGGAAAGGAGAAAATAAAAGGGGAAAGGGAGAGAGACAGTACCACGCTGAGTCATTTCAGATACCTCGTTGTCTCCGGACCCTCTCTGAAGAAACACAGACTCAAATGAAAGGCAACCTGTCTCACCCACCATGGCGCCTTAACCTCCTTAGCAGCAGCGTATAAAATAGGAGTGGGCCACTCTCTCATTAGCCCCAGCCTGATCTCCCAGCCCCCAAAAAAGAAAGAAAAGAAAAAGCACCATAGGACCAAACACACCACAAGTTTATGTTTTTAACATTATCCTAAGGAAAACTCAGAAGCCAAAGAGTAAATTTTGGCTAAGCTTATACCTATATCAAGAGAGTTAACTCCTCTGGGTCCTTGGTTTCCTAACTATCTATTGGAGCAGGGTGGGAGAGAAGTTCTAGTTTGACTGATGTTTGTAAGGAGTTCTAAAAAAAAAATATGATCCTATCTTTACCCATGTTTTCATTAAACAACCAGACCTGCTTATAATGTTCATGTCAGTGGAGCATATAGAACAAAGCTAACCCATTACATGAAGGCTGCTGCAAATGCCACTGTACTTGATCTCTGAGAAGTATTAGATGCTTCAGAAACAAGTATCATCTTAGAAGGTAAATTTCCTTTATGTAATAGCGGTCAATCACTACTTCCACCTTTAAAGGTGCCAGATGCTATGATTTGGAAGGAAGAGGCTGCTGAGAAGGTCCGGGATCTAGTGGCAGACAGAAGGATCATTCAACTTTGGAATGGACAATCAATGGCTAGCCATACTGATGGACCTTCAGCCTCACTGAAGTAACTTACTCCTAATCAACAAGCTAAGTACTTACTTCAAGCCCACTATGGCTCCATGCTGAGATAGGTGTTCTGGTGGAAAGAAAAGTAAAATACATATTCACTAATGCCAAGAGGCTCCCATCTAGTTGGCGATGCAGAACAAAACAAAACACATGAAACAGGGAATATAAGTATATGTAAAATGTGTGGTGATGAAAGCAGAGACCACAGGAGGTCAGAAAAGGAAGGAATCAGTGGAGGAAGGAAGAGAAGTTTCTAAGGATAGAGCAAACCTTAGGCAAGACTGAAAGGAAGCCCCTGTCTTTCAGCTGTGTCTGTCTTCCCACTGGACCATAAACATCAAGAAGGCTGGGACTGCATGTGTTTTGTTACCACCAATGTCCAGCATACAGCTTGGCATATACGAAGAATTCAATACATTTGGTCAATGAATGAAGTCAGAGTTGGAATCAAGCAGTGTGTATAAGAGATGACCACGAGTCAACTGCTTGAATCGGACAGGTTAAAGGGTAATAATAAATGGGGCTGGATATATCCAGTGGGACCTTTACAGAGTAAAACGAGCAGGCAGTGCAATGTCACATTAGAACCTTCTAGCCATCAGCCTGAGGTCTAGTGAGTCTATCACTCCTTGAAACACCCAAGCAGAGGTTGAACTATCTGTCAGGGATACATTAGTGCGGATAAAGACTCATGCAGACAACCTCTACAATGCATTCTAATTCTACAATATATATGATAGGAGTTTTAACTAAAGGCTCAAAATGGCTGAACAGTGAGACACGGCCTCAAAACGAAGGTTTGCATTAATAAGTGCATATTCTATGCACACAGTGGTTACTCAAAGGTTTACTGATGACTGCTCAGGTAAAGGGAATTAATGATCCAGTCTTACATGACATGACAGCTAATTTTTTCAAATATATGAAAAATCATTATGAAGAAGAGTATATATTCTGTGTATAGACAAGGGTAGAGTTAAACTAATAAGTTTAGAAGATAGAGGGAAAAAGATTTTGTTCAAATTATGTGTGTGTCTGTGAAATCCTAATAATTAGAGCACCCTTGGGGTGGGATGGATGCTCTTAGAAAGCGTAATAAGTTCCCAGCCCTCATAAAGCATACCAACAGAAGAGGTTTTTGGTTTTGCCAGGAGGTCACAACTCTCAGATGCTTTCCAACTCCGAGACTTTAATGGTGTTTAAAAGGTGTGTCTGAAATAAAACTGCAAAACTGAGGGCCAGAAAGGTTTAACAACTCAACTGAGGTCATACTAGCAAAAATTACTAAAATTCTCATCAGGATCAAGGTCTAATTTAAACGTACTTTTTCTCAAACCAAGCTGACTCAATGTGGTCTTCAACAGGAGTTGCCATAGGTTCTTCAACAGGTAGCTGATATGCCTGAAGTGAGGTAAAGAGAAACTGAAGGTCTAAAGACCAATCAGTGGGTTATTACGGTAGTTGGCAGAAATGCCTCAAAGGAATGAACGTGGTGATGTGGAAATGGCCCATGGTCATGGATACCTCCACAGCCTGGGAGACAAAAGAATACCAAACTGAGATGATGGGAAAGTGAGAAGGTGAGGAGGACATTCTGAGGAAGGTTAAGTTTAAGTTGATCACAGGACACAATGCAAGTAAATACAGAAAAATGTAAGTGAAAGCATACAAGGTCCAAGTTGAAAAACTGATTAGAAGCTATGAATAGACAAGCTCAGAAATGGGAGGGGGAAATTGCTGCAGGAGAGGAGACAGGGAAAGCTTGAGCCTATGCTACAGTGCAAACATGAACACAAGGGAGCAAACTGAACATTGCAGGCAGAAGGAATGGGTAAAAAGGTCGTGAGACAGGAATAAGAGCAAGAAGACCCACATATCTGTAGCAGAATGAATGAAGAAAAGGGCAGTCCCACTGGCAACAAGATCTAGAGCAAGTACTAGACCTCTCATCTGGAGAAACAGGCAGATCATGAAGCACCTTATAGGCTGTGTTGAGGAACATACGTTATTTTTATAAAGAGAAAAATATCAAAAGTGTTAAAAAAACAAAAAGCAGGAAGAAAGACTCCAAGTTGGGTGGGCAGTTATCAGTGTCAAATATTGCAGAGTAGTTAAGGGCAAATATTTGTGAAAAGGCTACTGAATTCTGTAAGCAAAGGTCACTGACAACCTCAAGAGGAGCAACAGTGGCAAAGGAAGAGGAGTTGTGTAGCTCCTCAGACACAGTCCCCTAGCTGGAATGGCCATTTGGCAAGTTAGAAGTGCTAAAGCTACATCAGGCTGCATCTACCATGGCTGGGTATCCTGAGCTAACGACTTGAGGCTAATTTTCAGCAGTCTTGGCTGTGATGACACAATATTAAAGGCATCAAAATTAACAGAACAGATTCAAAAGTCACTAACAATGACCCTTCAAGAGGGATCTCAACAATGACCAGTTTTAAATATTGAATAAATTCCTGCTAGTACGTCTTTTTGTTTCTTTTCCTTTTCTTTTCTTTTTTTTATTTATTTTTGGCTGCTTTGGGTCTTTGTTGCTGTGCGCGAGCTTTCTCTAGTTGCAGCGAGCGGGGTCTACTCTTTATTGCGGTGCACGGGCTTCTCACTGCGGTGGCTTCTTTTGCTGCAGAGCAGGGCTCTAGGGTGTGCGGGCTTCAGTAGTTGTGGTGTGCAGGCTCAGTAGCTGTGGCGCACGGGCTTAGTTGCTCCGCAGCATGTGGGATCTTCCCAGACCAGGGCTCGAACCCATGTCCCCTGCGCTGGCAGGCGGATTCTTAACCACTGCACCACCAGGGAAGTCCTGGTCTTTTTGTCTCTAGCTGCCCTATGTAATTCCTAGTAGACTTCTTTATGATGGGATTTTGATCGTTTCTTTGATTATATACTTTCTTCTCCACTATCCCTAAAATCGATGACTAGGATAGTAACACTGACTTAAAGACCCCTTTAAATATGTTCTTCCTAGATGTGGCTCTTTTCTGTACCGTATAATATCTTTTAGTGATCCCCTGTGCCTCCAACAACAACAACAAAATTTTTTTAAGGAAAAGAAATTAATCCTAAGTCAGTCTCTTAACAGGTTTTTGGAAGCAATTTTACCAGTCCATGAAAACTGAAACCATGGTTTTATAACAGAAAGATAAAAAAGAATATCACATTTCTATCTCTTTACTTCCTCCAACTGAAAAGAAAATAGTTAAAAAAGAATTAGATTCATTAACCAAGAAGTTACTGCTCCTTAAAATTTTATAAATATCCTAATCAGGTACATCCTCCACTGAAAAGTCAAATGGAAGTTATACAAATGCCCTAAAAATATTCACCTCTAATAGATAAAAGTTTAAAACATTTTGAATTTCATACAACTGCAAGCCAACCGCAAAGCACATAATAATACTTACCCTATATTCGAAATCTGCAAACTCCCTGCCCCCACGACCTCCTCTGAATCCACCACGAAATCCTCGAGGAGTGGCAAAGTTACCACCTCGGCCGCTACCACGTCCTCGGCCACCACGGAAACCAAGACCTCCCCTGCCTCTGTACCCTCCACGGCCACGGTTTGGACGAAGTGGGATTCCAAATGTTTCTGCATTTAATCTTCTTTCTTCAGCCCAGGTTGGTCTCCGTTCTCTATTATGAGAACAAATAATCTTTAGTGTATCAAGTTTTAAAGAACATTTTCCAGCAAAACTATGCAGCACTGATTCCCAAATTAAAGGCTAAGTAATTCCTAAGAATCAAATAAAAATAAGCACCTTGTCTAAGTCATCACAAGCTGTCCATGGCAATATGTTCCTATAATTCATGTGAAAATATGACTGGTATTAAGCTTCTTGCAAATGCAGTTGATACTACAAAGAAACTGACAACAGCCCCAATAAATGGGATTGGCAATTGACTCTACCCTCCAATCAGCCCCAGAGGAAGAAAGGGCAAAGCCAGGAAAGGAAACCCTGTCTCAGGATGTGAGGAGATGGAGGATAGATCCCTGAGTTCCTAGTATGTTCCTGGCCCAACCTCTGAACCTGACGCCTGAAGCATCTGAATTGCTGCTGCTGGCCCACAGCCCAGATAATCAGAGGATTCAGAATCATCCCCATCCACGTTTAAAGTGAAGTAGAAAACTGCCACCAGGTGGCACCAAACTGCAGCCAGGAGGACAATTAGGATCAGGCAGCAGAAACCCTGGAACTCTTAGTTTGTTATGTTGGGTCCTTTAATTAAACAGTTTTCTGGATCCACATTTACTGCAATATAGCAGAGCTTTACTGTATCAGCAAACTTCATCTGAACTACACTGTAGAGGGGTAAAGTAAAAGGTTTTAGGTGTTAGATGAATGCCTCTATTTTTAATTACTAATTTTCAAATGTGAATGCATCCCCAAACAAAAGTATATGTTTATTTATTTTTCTCAAAGAGTAATATCATTTAAAATTTTAGTATAAATTATTTTCTTTAAGCAAAATAAATCATTAAACAATTGCAGTCATTAGATTTTTTTTTTTTTGGCCACACAATGCAGCATACAGGATCTTGGTTCCCCGACCAGGGATTGAACCCGTGGCCCCCCCCCACAGGGACTGAACCTGTGCATTGGAAGTGTGGATTTTTAACCACTGGACTGCCAGGGCAGTCCCTAGATATTTTTAAGTATTCATTAAACTTTGTGAATTTATAAGAATTCATTTCACACTTCAACGTCCTAAGAGCATAAGAGCAGCTTAAAAGACTGTACCTATTATCATCACAAGAAATATTATCAAAGAAAGATTTAGTTTTGTCATAATAGCAGTTAGGTCCAAGTGGATCTTCTTCATCTGCATTTCCTTCACTGTTTTGGGTATCAACTCCTGAGTCTCCTTTATCTTCACCATTTACAGGCTTCTCCTGTTTCTCAAGTTTATCTTCTAATGAAAAACAAGCACATACCATAAAAGTCAAGACTTGTACTAAACATCCATAATTCACAAGTCATATAAGAGTATTTTTTGAATAGAAAAATAAAAACTCACCTTTCAATTTAAGTTTATTATGAAACTCTCTGTCGATTTCCTCCTTGTTAAATTGTGCATTTGCACTTTCGAAGTCAAAGTCTTTCTCAAATTTCATTGGACCATCTCGTCGAATACCAAATCTTCCCCTGCCACCTCGATGACCCCCACGCCCTCTCCTTGGAGCTGAAGGAGCACCTGGAACTATATTAATAAAGAAAGAACAAGCTGGTTTAGAGCAGAAGCTATTATTGTGGTCTTTATGGTCAACAAGAGAAATGCTTACAAGTCTCTATACACATGACGATATTTGTATTTTTTAATATAAAAAAGATGAAGTTTCACAAACATTTAATACATAATAGACTGAGAAGAGCACATATAAAATTTATAAACATGAAATTTATAAATGGCACACATGACATTTATATCTATGGGGTTTACACTCATACATGCTACTGATACAATACACAACCAAACAATTTGGGAGACTTCTGTACTGAATTACTTTGATCTGCTTACATCCCTAATACCTACAAAATGTCAAATATATATTGGGTTCTCAAAATTCAGGAAGACTTTTATGGAAAGGATCATAGAAATCAAGATTTATAGTGAGAAAAATAGATGAACATTTAGCAGCACAAATTGCAAGATAACACAAAAGACAAGAAGTACATGGTCTCAGACTTCCCTGGTGGGGCAGTGGTTAAGAATCTGCCTGCCAATGCAGGGGACACGGGTTCTATCCCTGGTCCGGGAAGATCCCACATGCTGCGGAGAACCAAGCCTGTGAGCCACAACTACTGAGCCTGTGCTCTAGAGCCAACGAGCCACAACTACTGAGCCCGTGTGCCACAATTACTGAAGCCCACGCGCCTAGAGCCCGTGCTCCACAACAAGAGAAGCCACTGCAATAAGAAACCCGTGAACAGCAATGAAGAGCAGCCCCCGCTCACTGCAACTAGAGAAAGCCCGCGTGCAGCAATGAAGACCCAACGCAGCCAAAAATAAATAAATAAATAAATAAATTTGTATTTTTTAAAAGACGTACATGGTCTCAACCACTCCAACCACTTCCTGCTTCACCTTTATTGTCTCCCTCTAAATGGCTCCATATTTTTCAAGTCTTCCTGTATCTATTTTTCTCTACAATTTAATACAATAACAAAATTTATGAGGTATGATAAAGCAATACCAAAGTAGCATAAATTATAGTGAAAACCTGAGAACCCAAATATCCAACACAAGAGGAACAGTTAAGAAGAAAAAAATTAAAGAGAAACATGGAATAGTATTTGATGTCGGTTAACAGAAAAATATAGAGCACAAAGCACTATGAATTCAATTATTATAATTATGTGAAATGTTTAACACATACTGATAAAGATCAGAAGTGACTACAGAGTAATAGACAGGTTTGTGCTCACTGTTCACTAAAATTTGGCAAATTGTCTAAGTTTGAGAAAACAAACCTCAAAAGCCCACAGCAGTATATCCAGACACTTAAATCTAGACAAGCAGGATGTTTAAATAGTCAACTCCACTACTGAAAATGTCTTGGCCAAAAGCCAGAAATTACAGCACAGTATTTCTGTCTTAAATTTTGAAGGGCAGTGAGAGATACTTTTATTTATTGCTTTACATGATTTATATTTTATTTATTTTTTAAATTGAAGTATAGTTGATTTACAATGTTGTATTAGTTTCTGGTATACAGCAAAGGGATTCAGATAGACAGACATACACACACACACACCACACATATATACACATATTTTTATATTAAAATATGCAGCGCTTCACGAATTTGCATGTTATCCTTGTGCAGGAGCCATGCTAACCTCCGTATCGTTCCAATTTTAGTATATGTGCTGCCAAAGCGAGCACTACTTTACACGATTTTTGAATGATGGAAGCATGGCAATTATTTTATCTTGAGAAGAGAGGGGTTCTTTTTCCAAATTAAAAAAAGTGAAACATAGTAAACCAAACCAAAACCTCTGTAATTCTATGGCACACAGCACAAATAAAAATACATATAGGGATTTCCCTGGAGGTCCAGTGGTTAAGACTTTGCCTTCCAGTGCAGGGGGTTCGGGTTCAATCCCTGGTTGGGGAGCTAAGATCCCACATGCCTCACGGCCAAAAAAACCAAGACATAACTCAGAAGCAATATTGTAACAAATTCAATAAAGACTTAAAAAAAAAATGGTCCACATCAAAAAACAACAACAAATAAAAACATAAACATATAAAAATGTACAGAAGAAATAAAGTGTTTATACATTTAAAATTGTATCTAGCTTTCTAAAATTAAGTGAAAGATCTTCCAATTATTATGTAATTAAAGAGATAACACACTGCTTTTATTTTTTAATTTGGAAGAGTTTATAATTATAATTTATTCTCTGCTAATAAATTTGAAAAGAATAAAATGGATGGATTTGGGGTAAATGTCATAGATTACAAAACAGATAAAGTATATAATCATATTAAATCAATAATAATGAAAGAAAGTTAAAGTTCTTGAATAATTACTTCAAAAAAAAAGGAGCCCAGATCTTAATTTTAATGAGAAAACTTCTCAATTTTAAAGGTACAGATAATTCAATTCTTTTTTAAAACATTTATTTTATTGAAGTATAGTTGATTTACAATGCTGTGTTAACTTCTGTTGTACAGCAAAGTGATTCAGTTATATATATTCTTTTTCATATTCTTTTCCATTATGGTATATTACAGGATATTGAATATAGTTCCTGATAACTCCATTCTTTTTTTTCTTTTGGCCATGCCACGCGGCTTGCAGGATTTTAGTTCCCTGATCAGGGATTGAACCCAGGCCATGGCAGTGAAAGCACTGAGTCCTAACCATTAGGCCACCAGGGAACTCCCAATTCCATTCTTAAAAGCATAGAAAACAATTTTATAATGCTAACATGAAACTGACACAAAAACATAAAAAAAATACAAAAGATAGTACAAAAGAGAAAGCCATAAAACAATGTAAATATAAATATACAAGTCCTACTTGCAGATAACATTCAAGAATATATCAGTAGATAACTGCCTACCATCAAGTAGGGTTTATTCCAGACACGTGATGATTAAAAAAAAAAAAAAACCTTTTGAAATAATTAGGTTAAAACAAAATTGAAATAAAAGTAGAGTGGTCCTATGTGCCTATCACCCAGCTTCCCCTCCAACAGTAACATCTTGATTATCTATTGTACATTATCAAAAACCGGGAAAAACCAGGACACTGGCACAATATAATTAACTATACTATAGATCTCATATTCAGATTTCAAGAGTTTTGGATGTTCTCATTTTTTGGTATGTCTTTATGTACAGTTCTATGACATTTTGCTACATATACAGATCCACAGTACCCCCACCATAAGATAAAGAACTGTCTGTTACCACAATGAAACTCCCCTGTGCTACTCCTTTACAGTCACCAACCCTTGCTATTCTTTTTTTATAGTAATTATGCATCATACATTTCAAATGTTCCCTCTATTGAAAAGCATAGGATAAGGCTTTCAGATCTAAGTAACAACTTACCTATTTGTCTCTTGCTATCATTTCTGAGTTGCTCATTTTCTGGTCTTGAAACCTTGTGTACTTCAGCTGTAGAACACATAGAAAGTGACAGTTAACTTAGGACACATAATCAAAAACTTCTGGAAAGTTAGAAATGGAAAAACAAAAACAAACAAACCCAGAACAAAACCAAAAATCTATATATCCCCACCACCATCACTACTTTGAGTCAAATTTGAAAGACTGAACATTCTATCAAGTTCAGTTTAAACTTTCTAGGATCATTTACATAGAGTAAATGTTTTTAATGAAAGTAAGTTGAATGGAAGATGTTGACCAGTCAATTAAGAAATAGTAAATAGCTAAAGTTCTACCTCGCCTGTGCTCTTGATTCTCTATTGCTTTTTGGCTGGTTGATGGTAAAGGCCTGGTTGATGATACAGGGCTCCTTCTCCCAACAGGTGCTGGAGCAGGTAAGTGGGCCGAGGCTGTCTGCACTGCTTGTTCCATGGTTGGGCTTTTTCTCAAAGGGTCTAACTGAGGGCTTGAACGACCTGAAACGTAACCAAAAGATAAGAAACTATCCCTATCCTCTGGGGGTTTGAAAATAACCTAGATCCTAAAAATAGGTCTAGAGTTTTACTTCTACCAATTCAAATCCTCAGCACAATTTGAATCCATCTACTCATTAGACCAGAGTTTAAAACTGTTTATCTTTAGTGGTCTGGTCACTTGATCAGTAAAATAAAATAAAATAAAATAAAATAAACCCCAAAACAAACAAACAAAAAAACTCTGGTACAAAATCCCCCAGGAATATTATCAAAGATAATTTAGGCAGGTCAGATGTAGGCTTTCCCCAATAACCACAACCACCAGATTACACTGAGACTTTAGCTATTATTTCTAGAGGCTTTAACTTTTTTTAAAATTTATTTTTGGCTGCGTTGGGTCTTCCTTGCTGGGTGTGGGCTTTCTCTAGTTGCGGAGAGCGGGGGCTACTCTTCCTTGTGGTGCACGGTCTTCTCATTGAAGTGGCTTCTCTTGCTGCGGAGCACAGGCTCTAGGTGCGTGGGCAGTAGCTGTGGCTCCGGGCTCTAAAGCGCAGGCTCCATAGTTGTGGCGCACAGGCTTAGTTGCTCCGTGGCATGTGGGATCTTCCCAAACCAGGGATTGAATCCGTGTCCCCTGCTTTGGCAGGCGGATTCTTAACCACTGTGCCACCAGGGAAGTCCCAATTTTTTTAGTACTTTCTGAAGATATGTCTAAAGTGATACCCTTATATCTGTAAGTATTATCTGCATTAAATTTCTATTACAAAGGAAGTAAAGAACTAGAAAGTCAGGTGAAGTTCTTCGATTCCTTAGAGTCTTGGGTAATTAAACATCAATACTAAAAGGCCAGCAACAAATAAACCCTTCAGATAATTACACAGTAGCCATACTTACCCTTTGCTGTTTGAATGATCACTTGGCAAATTTTTGCTTAATATGGGTTTTGTACTTACAAATTCCATTTTTTCTTCCATGAGGTCAGAGCCTGGTCACAGTATGAACAGAAGAATGTAACACTGGGTGCTCCCATCATGCTTTTTGTCTCTAATGTTTGCCATAAATCTCCACTCAAGATGCTCTCACATCCCATGATATTGCACCAAAATAGGTTTTGCTTTAAAAAATTGTCCTTTATTTTATGTAAAAAAAAAAAATATTCCCAAATATGCTGCAAATGTTACTACCCACCTGTGCTATCTGCACAGGCTCCAAACTGGGGAACTGGTGAGTACTGACAGCACATTGGTTGTTGTTCACCAGGTGCTTCAGGGACTGTTTATTAGTAATACTCCCCAAATATATGGTTAACTAAAGTATGCAGTTACAAATGTGCGTCACCATTTCCAGCATTAACGACAAAGTTTACTCTGCCATTAATAGAAACACTGTAATTTTCCCACTGATTATAATGGGAAATCATAGTGGTTTATACAAGTTTTGGTCTAAGAGAAAACATTTTGTAATCACTTATCACCTTATAAACAGATTTATTTGTCAAACAAGTGTTAAGTTTTTGGAAAAGCCTATTGTTTAGGTAATTTTATAATAATACATTAAGTGATCTTATAAACTTACAAAACTTTACTTCATTAAGGCTTTTCTTTAAGGTCCTGTGACTCACAATATTACAGAACTGCAAGTGATAGGGCAATCACAGTAAGTAATAACTCACTGCTGTGTATTTTTTTAAAAAATATTTATTTGGGCTTCCCTGGTGGCGCAGTGGTTGGGAGTCCGCCTGCCGGTGCAGGGGACGCGGGTTCACGCCCTGGTCCGGGAGGATCCCACGTGCCGCGGAGCGGCTGGGCCCGTGAGCCATGGCCGCTGAGCCTGCACGTCCGGAGCCTGTCCCCTGCAACGGGAGAGGCCACAGCAGTGAGAGGCCCGCGTACCCCAAAAAAAAAAAAAAAAAAAAAAAAAAAATATTTATTTGGCCCCACTGGGTCTTAGTTATGGCATGCGGGATCTTTTAGTTGCGATATGTGGGATCTAGTTCCCTGATCAGGGATCAAACCTGGGCCCTCTGAATTGGGAGCACGGAGTCTTAGCCACAGGTAAGTCCCTGTATTTTGAAAACCTTTGTAATTAAAGTCTGGTACTACATCATGATGGCAATTTTGTTATAAATAGGGAAATACAGGTGATACTGGACATATTAGGAATAAACTCAAAAGCTCTTTTATAATAAACACACCCCCTCAAGTTATCTTCACATTTTTATTCTTACAGTTACAAGAAAATTCTAGGTGTTAAAATTTTATAAACATCAAAAATTTTAGTTGGTGACATCAGAATGAGATTCCCAGGCCTCATCTCCCATTGTTTTATTTAAACATACCTCTTTCTTCTAATAAATATGTAATTAAATTTTTAAAAAACATTTTAATCTATTCAAAACTTATTTTAGCCTTAAGTATGAGGGAAGGATTCTAGAGTTACTTTTCCAAGTGATCAGGCAGTTGTCTGTTCACAGCATCATTTATTGGATGGATCATTTAGTAGTCTTTCTCTACTAATTTAAAAATAATATCTCTATCATATATTAATTACTTTATACTTGGATCTATTTCTGACTTTTGCTCTATTCATCTCTAAATTTATTCCTGTACTGCTTTATTTTATGTATACTTTATTAAGGAGGTAAGCCCTATCTCATTACTTTTTTTTGTGTGTGTGTGGTACGCGGGCCTCTCACTGCTGTGGCCTCTCCCGTTGCGGAGCACAGGCTCCAGACGCGCAGGCTCAGTGGCCATGGCTCACGGGCCTAGCCGCTCCACAGCATGTGGGATCTTCCCGGACCGGGGCACGAACCTGTGTTCCCTGCATCGGCAGGCGGACTCTCAACCACTGCGCCACCAGGGAAGCCCTCATTACTTTTATTTTTAAAACATATCTAGGCATACTTTCATGCTTATTTTTAAGATAGTCTGTGTATCTGTTTTATTAGGTTCTCTTACTATTCCATGTAGATTTATTGAAAGTACATACAGTAAATTTAATTATTATGAGAAATAAAGTCTTCCTAATACTAAATCTTTTTATCTAGGAATAAGATACGTTTCTTTGATTACATGTAACTGCTCTTATGTCCCTCTATTATATTTTGTATCTTTCATCATAGAGGCTGGCCATATTTCTTATTATGTATTTTATATATAACTTCTATTGCTCATCATTGTGAACATCTTTTATCCCCATTAATAATCAGTGGGTTAGGTTTTAGGACATCTTTTTTTAAAAAATTTATTTAATTTTTGGCTGCATTGGGTCTTCACTGCTGTGCACAGGCTTCCTCTAGTTGCAGCGAGCAGGGGCTACTCTTCACTGCGGTGCACAGGCTTCTCATTGTTGTGGCTTCTCTTACTGCTGAGCATGGGCTCTAGGCACATGGGCTTCAATAGTTGTAGCATGCGGGCTCAGCAGTTGTGGCTCACGGTCTCTACAGCACAGGCTCAGTAGTTGTAGCTCACGGGCTTAGCTGCTCTGCGGCCATGTGGGATCTTCCTCGACCAGGGCTCGAACCCGTGTCCCCTGCACTGGCAGGCGGAATCTTAAACCACTGAGCCATGGGGGAAGCCCTAGGACATCTACTGATTTTTATACTTATTCTCTACACTTTACCTCTATCTAATTTAAGTCTCATATTAGTTCTAGTTTTTCAGTGAATTCTCAATTCCAAGTAGGAAGTCAGCATTGGCAAATAATGCTATTCTAATATTCATACTTCTTATTTCTTTTTCATGTATTCCTGACATAGCTAAAAATTCCAGAACAATGCTGAGTAACAATGAGAAAGGGAATCCTTACTTATGATTTTAATAAGAATCCTTCTGGTGCTTCAATATTAAGGTTAATGTTGGTTATTAATTAAGATAGCTAACATCTACTGAGCACGTTCTATGCGTCAGGCATTATGTTAAGGACACTGCATACATTTCAAAAAATTTAACCCTTATAATAAGTCTGTTGGTTTATCAGTAAAGCGCTGTTTTATAGTATGGAAAACTAAAGCTTAAAAAGATTAAATATCTTCTCTAAGAAGGAAATCTTAAAAAAATTAACAAACCAATACATACACACACAAATATACACTTATGTTAACCTAGACAAAAGTCTGGATGTGAATATTTGTTATTTCTGGGTGGTGAGATTACAGGTATTTTTATTTTCTTCCTATGCTTAGTGTATTTCTTTTTAAAAAAAATTATTGAAGTATAGTTGATTTACAAAGTTGTGTTAATTTCTACTGTACAGCAAAGTGATTCAGTTATACATATATATACATATATACATTCTTTTTCATATTCTTTTCCATCATGGTTTATCACAGGATATTGAATATAGCTTCCCGTGCTATACAGTGCGCTTAGTGTATTTCTAATTTACCTACAAAAAGTCTTTAGAATGTAAAAAATTAAAAATTAAGTTTTTTTAAATCAATATGAAGAAAAGTAACTACAACTATTTCAAAATATCTAAAGTGAGATACACAGGATTATGTTTAGCATTGGCTTGATTTTACCCGCAAGTGCTTTAAAAAATACTGTCCTGATCATAATAGCATGTTTCTGAAATGACTTTACATTGTTTTATTTAAAAGTAAACATCCATATAAAGCAATGGGCCAGTTTCACCCACTTTAGCAGAAGATAAAGAATCCTGGGACCACTGAAGGTTATGAGACTGGTTGGTGGAAAAACAGAATTAAAAAGAAATGAAACAGGATCCTTTGAGCTTATTAAAATGCAGATCTCCAAGCTCCAGGGATTCTGATGTAGCAGTTCTCAGGATCTACATTTTTAAGAAGCATTCCAGATCAGATGATTTGATTGTGAGTGGTCCACACTGAGAGCCACTGCTCTAGATTCTATGAGGATACTAGGAAAGATGCAACAGCATAATGAATAGTTTGTTTCCTCAGCTACTATTTCAAATTCATCAAGGATAGTTCATCCTCAGTGGTGAGTCAGAGATTGACCAGTAATATTTAAGTATTATATACAAGTAATATAATTGCTTTGTAAAAAAAAAAAAGTCAAACGTAGACAATATTCACCATTTCAGCTTTATGATCTAAGAATTATAAAAAGCCTGAACAGTGGAAGTCATTCAGTAATGTACTTACTGAACAACAATTTAAAAATTTTTTTAAAGAACTAAGTAGAAATTATACATGTGAGTTACAAGCTGCAAAAGCTCTTACATTCAGAGAATGACTACTATCTATAGAAATTTAGAATGGAAAATTTTGAAGGAAAAAACAGCTTACCTTGAGATAACTGTGTTTTTAGAGATCTTGTATCCTGTGTAAAGGCAGAACCAACTGCATTACTTTGGGATAGGGCACCGCTGTTTGATGCTTCTGTTCCAAAGGATGTCAAGGAGCTTCCAGCTTTAAGAAAATTTTTTTGAATGACAAAAAATTTTTTTTTAAATTTTAAACCTTTCAATTATATAAAGTAACACAGCATTTTAATGATAATTGTCCCTCCCTGTAGCACCTGTGTAAATTAATAATACTGGAAATTAATGAAACTGAATCAAAACATAATTTGAGAAATTTTTGACAATATATGAAAAGCAAGCCCATATATACTCCAGCATCTTTGGATGCAAACAATTTTTTTTAACATATGCAATATTCTCCTGGACAGTTATACAGATGGGACAGCAAGGATGTACATCAGATAGAGAAGTAGCAGAAATGGTACATTCAACACCAACATTAAGGTTCAATTATCTTAACACCAAGTATCTGCACAAAGAGCCAAATCAGCAGACAGGTCTATGAAGAGCTTTTCCAGCATTTCCAAGGCAGTGGACAATGGACTCCAGTCCATTTTAATGCCTCCCCTCAGTACAGTATTGTGGGGCTGCATTCTGCCTAAAGCAACCACAAAAAGTTCTGGTAATATAAGGAACAAAATATGAGGAAAGGACCTTTGCTATACTAGGTTATGTCAATCTTCTTTTCTACATTTCTTCAGAATTTATGGATCAATCACTTTCCATATGCTGTGCTCTCTTCTTAATATTTAATCTACATAGGTTTTCTCTAGCAGGAACTGTTTCAATAGCCCCTCTTCCCCCACCTCTAAATCCAATATAAAAGTGGTACTGAGAATAATCTGTTATGAAACAAAAATAATCACATCACTACAGTGCTTAGGACTCTCTGATGGCTTTCCACTGCCCTCAAGAAAAAAGTTCAAACTATTTACTTTAGCTTATAAGGGCCTCCCCATTATCTGCCTACCTCTTTTCTCATTACTCATTTACACCTCTTTGTTCCACAACAGAAGTTTAACTACCTGCTTTTAAATTACTTGAAGATTATGATCATGTTCCTCACATCTTCTAACTTCCAAGCTAAGCAACTCTAGTTCCTTCAACAATTACTCACCTTCACATGCTCTTTAAGCCTTGCCTCTTTTGACTTCTCCTAATTTAATGAATTCTAGTTGTTCTTATCTCTCTTAAAACGGGGCATCAGAACTCAGCAAAGTACCTCAGACAATAAGAATGAATGGGACTCCTTTAGAGGTGTAATCCATTCAGGCTGCAGTCCCAGCCAGCTAAGGAGAGGCCTAACATAACCTCCCACAACATCCCCAGAAATGTTGAGACTACTGCTCTCAATAATTCTGTGGGATGCTGAATCTATCCCATTATCCCTAGTATTTCTGGGTAATGACTAAGACATAAACCACTCTGATGATGTGTATTCAACCTCCATCCTGCTCTGACTCAACCTCCCACTGCTTGCGCCTGCCTCCCCACCACCACCCAACCCCATGAGCAGACTCTTCTATATCCTCCGTCTCTTTTCTGAGTTCCCAGTCATACTACACCCACCTCCCTCGTGCCATTGCTGCTACTGATTTATCTCAAATTATTTTTCATGTAAAGTGTGAGGCAGGGGTCATTGTTAATTTTTTCCAAATAGATATCTAGCTGCTGCAAGATCATTTGTTTAAAAGATTTCCCCTTCTATCCACAGGAAAATAAAAGTGAAATTTATAATCATCATTCACAAAAATACAAAACAAAACAAAAAAGATTTCCCCTTCTCCATTGAACTGCACTGGCATCTTTGTCTTAAATCAGCATTTAAGTAGGTCTATTTCTGTACTCTCTATTCTTTACCCTGGTATATTTGTGTATTCTTATATCAATAATTCCCTGTTCTGAATCTTGAAATTGGGTGTATACCTCAAACTTCCTCTTTCTTCAAGAGTAGCTTGGCTATTATAGATTTTGTATTTCCATACAAATATTAGAATCAGCATGTCAATTTCTATTTTTAAAGTGTGATGGGATTTTGATCAGGATTGTGTTCAACCTGTAAACCAATTCTGGGGAAAGTGTCATCATAAAAATAATATTGAATATTCTAACCCATAAGCATGGATTAACTCTACATTTATTTAGATCTCTAAATTCTCTCAGCAGTGTTTTGTGATTTTTATTGTAGAGCAGAGTTTTCTCAACTTCAGCACTACTCACGTGTTGGGCCAGATAATTTTTTGTTGAGAGGGGTTGTCCCATGCATTGTAGGATGTTAAGTAGCATCCCTGGCCTCTACCCATTAGATGCTAGTAGTATCGCCCAGTTGTGACAAACAAAAATGTCTCCAGGCATTACCAAATGTCCCCTGAGGGAGGGGGGTAAAATGAACTCCCCTCCTCTGAGAACCACATAGAGATTTTCAAATACTATCTTTTGTTACATTCATTCCTGGGTATCTGATGTTATTGGTGCTATTGTAAGCTCTGTTGCACTTTGTATTTCACTTACCAATAATTTGTTCTAGATCAGCAAACTTTATCTATAAGTAGCCAGATGGTAAATAAAATATTCTAGGCTTTTCAGGCCATATGCTCGCTGTTATAACTATACAACTCTGCCCTTGTAGTGTAAAAAGTAGCCACAGACCACATGTAAATAAATGGGTATGGCTGTATTCCAGTAAAACAGGAGGCTGGTGGGATTTGGTCCACAGGCCATAGTTTGCCAAAGTGTCTGTTCTGAATACAAAAATACAGTTGATTTTTGTATATTTACCATGTATTCCCTTACCATGCTAAATTCACTTATTCATTCCAGTAGCTTGAATATTCCTTTGCATTTTCTACATACACAATCATGTTACCTTCAAATAATGCCATTTTTAGCTCTGCCTTTCCAATCTCTAAATCTTTTATTTATTTATTTTTTTCTTGCCTCATTGGACTGACTAGAACCTCTAGAACAACACTACATGAAATAAGACAATTCTTTCGCTTTATTTTTACCTCAAGGGAAAAGCATTCATTATCCCACAATTATGTGTGTAAGCTTTTCATTTCACTGATCAGATTAGGAAATTCCCTCCTATTCCTTAGTTGTTGATAAATGGGTATTGAATTTTACCAAATGCCTGTTCTGTATCTCTTGGGATTGCAGTTTTTCTCCTTTATTCTGTCAATGTGGTAAATTACTAATGATTTTCAAATGTTAAAACATCTTTGCATTCCTGAGATGTCATTATGTAACATCCTTTTTATGAACTGCTGGCTTCCACTGCTAATACTATGTTAAGGATTTTTACATATATGTTCAGGGAAATTAGCTGTAATTTTATTTTCTTGTATTGATTTCATTTAGATACCATTTAGGTTTTGGTATCTCAGCTTGCCTTGGTTTTCTGGTTAGGAAGTGTTCTTTTATTCTCTCAAAGAGTTTGTGTAAGATTGGTAAAATTATTTCTTCCCTAAATGGTAGAATTTATCAGTAAAGCAAGTAGTCTAGAATTTTCTTTACAGAAGATTTTAAATTAGTTTCAACTTCTTTAACAGGGTGATACTGAGACTGTACTTCCTCCTGTGTTGGTTTAGGAAAGTTGTATTTTCAAGGAATTTGTCTATTTCATCTGAGATGTCAAATCTGTTGACATAAAGTTGTTCACAATATCTTCATATTATCCTTTTAGGATCTATAGTGATGCCTACACTTTCATTCTTTTCTTTTTTTTTTTGATTTTTAAAAAAATTAATTAATTTACTTTTGGCTGTATTGGGTCTTTGTTTCCGTGCCAGGGCTTTCTCTAGTTGCGGCAAGCGAGGGCCACTTTTCATCACGGCGCACAGGCCTCTCTTGTTGCAGAGCACAGGCTCCAAACGCGCAGGCTCAGCAGTTGTGGCTCATGGGCCTAGTTGCTCCACAGCATGTGGGATCTTCCCAGACCAGGGCTCGAACCTGTGTCCCCTGCGTTGGCAGGCAGATTCTCAACCACTGCGCCACCAGGGAAGCCCTACACTTTCATTCTTGATATCAGTATTTGAGTCTTCTTTTTTCCTTGTTTAGTCTTGCTAGGGGCTCATTAATTTTATGAAATTTTTCCAAGAACCAGCTCCTGGCTTTGATGATATTATATATATATTTTTGACTTGTTTCTATTTCCTTGATTTCTGCTTTAAATTTTTTCTTCCTTCTAGTACTTTTGGGCTAATTTTCTTTCTTTTATTTTTAGCTTCTTAATAAGCTGGCAGCTTAGAGCACTGACTTTAAAATATTCTTGTTTTCAGGGCTTCCCTGGTGGTGCAGTGGTTGAGAGTCCGCCTGCCGATGCAGGGGACACGGGTTCGTGCCCCGGTCCGGGAAGATCCCACATGCCGCGGAGCGGCTGGGCCTGTGAGCCATGGCCGCTGAGCCTGTGCGTCCGGAGCCTGTGCTCCACAACGGGAGAGGCCACAACAGTGAGAGGTCTGCGTACTGCAAAAAAAATAAATAAATAAATAAAAAATAAAAAAAAAATTCTTGTTTTCTTATATATGTATTTAAAGGTATGAAATTTCCGCTAAGCAATGCTTAAGCTCCACTCACAAATTTTGATTTGTTGTACTTTATGATCTATCTTATTTCCCCTATGATTTCTTCTTTAATTCATTAGTGATTTTTGTAAGTTTGCTCAATTTCTGTATTGAGCAAACAGAAATATACTATTTGTATATTTTTTAAGTTATCTTTATTAATTCCAAATTTAATTATTTTGTGGTTTGAGAAGATACCACGTATGATTTCAATCCTTCTGAATTTTTTTTTAAATTTATTTATCTATTTATTTATTTTTGGCTTCTTTTGGTTCTTTGTTGCTGTGTGTGGCTTTCTCTAGTTGCGGCGAGCGGGGACTACTCCTCGTTGCAGTGTGTGAGCTTCCCACCGCAGTGGCTTCTGTTGTTGCAGAGCACGGGCTCCAGGCGCACGGGCCTCAGTAGTTGTGGCAGGGGGAGCACAGGCTCTGGACATGCAGGCTCAGCGGGCATGGCTCATGGGCCCAGCCGCCCAGCGGCATGTGGGATCTTCCCAGGCCAGGGCTCGAACCCGTGTCCCCTGCATTGGCAGGCGGACTCT